AAGTCTATTAGTTGCATCAAAATTAACCTCGTAGATTAAAGAATCAATATTCAATTTAAAGCAGTGAATAATAGGTTTTATATTCGAGCATCGATGGGATTGGACATGCACACGTAATCTTATTTCTGCAGTCGAGAGCTGTACTACCAGTAATCAACAACAAATTAAGTCAATGCAAAGAAGCAGCCACTCTAACCTCTGTTCGTTGTGGTGTCTCTATGAATGGGCCCGCCGCTCTCTCTGCATCAGTATCACTGGTTTCATGCACACGAATCAACATTTCACATCTGGCTTTGGACTCGAACGAAGTCATTGATATCTCCTTTAATCAATCACATGGTATGCTAATAAATTAAGCACGACGATGCGACGTTTAACCACATCAACGTGCCATAAACCGTGTGTCCATCATACGACATGACATTGCCTCAATCATAGCTAGACTTTGTGTGACCGTAACTAAGGCCACAACCGTTCATGGATCCTCGAATAATTTAATTGATCGTATGGTAAATTCATAGTTGGATATGTTGTTGGAAAAAATAAAAGATAAGAAGAATTATTAAAGAAGCTTTATCGAAGAAGCAAAAAAGCTTGAATGCATTAATATTCCCTTTCCTATTAGAGGATTTCCTTCGACAGAATAGAGGATTTCCCTGTAGAGAGATTTCCTTGAAAATCTTATCTACTATCAGGATATCCATATATGTTTACGGTCAATGAAACAGACTTGAGATGGATCACAAAGGCTTATTAGCTGGCTGAGACTTGATCGCTTCATGCCTACGAACATTAATAAGCATGACTATGACAACCATCCATAGTTATCAAACTAGACTAGTCGGTGATCACCGAACGAACGACACTTGAGTCAACTTGATCATGGGGCAATTATATCTGATTTGAAATGGAAACTAAGGCAAACAATCATGAAAGCTACGTTGCTGTGAAGGTAGATTATCTCAAACTTCTACTGGTTGAGTCGACGACACCCAAAATTTGATGATAATTTTGATAACGTTAAGCATAAAAATGTCTGGGTTGCACTTGACACCCAACCAAGACGAGCACACAAGCGACTGATTCAAATCCATGGACTCGACCTTACCGACGGGCCGAGCCCAACTAGTCAACAGTCCGACCTAACTTTGTGATCAAGCCCAACCCGACTTTATCAGGGTAAGTTCGAGAGGACCCAACTTGTGATGGGCCAAACGTGGCCCACTAAGGGTTCGACCCAATAAGAGCTGACCCGACCAATTATGGGCCCGTCATGAACTGACCTGACCGAAGTCGAACCAACTTGTGATGGGCCAAAAATGGCCCACCAAGGGGTCGACCCAATAAGAGCTTGACCCAACCAATTATGGGCCCGACCTGATCAGCTTTGATCAGCCCAAGTAAGATCCATACCCAAAACTTCTTTGGCCCGTTGAAACTTGACCCAACCAATTCTCTCGCTAGGGATCTCCTTCGCTTATACTAATATTGACAGCACACGTTCAAAGCTTATTGGTGCCTGTATCATATCATATCATCAAAGCACTGTTTGATTACATTGTCCTTTATAATTAGATAATATATATAATAAAATCAATTGGATTCTGATGATAAATATTGATCAATAAAAATGAAGTCCATGTTAGAGTAGAATTCCTTAGAGGGATGCTCTTGATGAAAGAAACTCTCCTAATAAATTAAACCCTCTGCTCTTACCTATAAATAGACATGACCTCTAGAGACTAAACGACACATGTTATAAAAGACGCAGTTACGAGATTACGATTTCTCTCTCAACCTCCATAATCCATCAATCTAAGTGATACGGTGAAAAGATAAAAAGAGGGACAAAAGAGTAGATAGTTCTCCTTGCAAATCGACATCACTATGATATTCGGATTCACGGATAGTACCTTTGCGGATCATACAAAGATCTTTTTTAGATAACATCAAAAGGTATGATGCATCGTAAATCTGATCTAATGTTATTTGATTTCAATCATAGCATAAAAGTTTTTCCGCATCACATATAGTATATCATAGGTTTTATACTTGTAAACACATGATGCATCTTAATTATGAAAACAATCTTCATATGCAAAGCTTCATCGTCCATCCAAAATATTAATATTAGAACATCAAGTGCTATGTAATCCAATAAAATATCTTTTCACACATAGTATATCCACTCGAGGCGAGGCATAAATATCAATATCAATATGCCCAATGCATTTCTAACTTAAGAAAGTATATTCGCGCATAATGCATATGCCCAGGAAGGAAGGCACCAAGGTGTCATGTTCACCCTAATTAGGTGAAGTATTTCTTATGCTCGATGATTAGGCAAAAGCATATAAAGCACCGAAAGACAACAACTATCAAGTTTCCGAGATGAACGTTACTCTTCCACATGCACAAGCTCTAACCATAATTGTAATGGGGAATAATGCCATTTCCATCATTTTTGGCCAATCTAGACTTAATAAATAAAGCCGTATCACCTAAATATTGTAATGTACCAAACTAGATATGTCAAGTCAAATCGATTTTTTCATATTAAGTTGATGATCATAAATAAGTTGACCCAACCTAACTTATTTTCTAAATGTTGTCATATTTGAGAGCCAGATTCCATTTGAAATCATCTGAATTGGCCACTCTATGTTTTTCTTCCTCGATAGGTGACTCGCGAGTCAAACGAAACCCTATGGGCAAACTTTGGTGTCATCATGTCATGCTAGTTGGGCTGTAATAACCCACTAATCTATATATGTTGCACCTCAATCGGTCATCAATAGCTTGACTAGATCTCATGTGTCAAATTTTAATTGATTATCAATTATAACTTGCATCATTTGCTCTCTCATCATACTTCCCAAAAAGCTTACCCAAGCTAGAGCACAGAGCACAATATAAGTTTGGAAACTTAACAGCAATTATCTACGTCAAGAAATCATCGAGACATGTTCTCTAGCTTGGGTAAGCTATCCATGTAAAGAATATCCGATATAGAAGATGCACAAAAGCATCAAAACATATCTGTATGAAGAATTACTAGTGTCAAACATAGGAGATGCAAGACCATCAATATATGTCGATTTGAATTACAAATGCAAGAGACATATTAGGAGAATGCAAATTTGAACTAAAGTAGTAGACATAGGAGATGCCACATTAGGAGTGTTAGATAGAGAAGACATAAGAGGAAGTTGAGTTATGCCAACTGTCTTGATTGAACATCCGTCTAGATGGAATATTTCTCTTTAAAATCAAGTAACACTATTGATTAGGTGTCGACTATATATATGATGTATCAATAGTTTATTAGAATCATATGTTAGACTATAAATTAATTTGTGTGTAGTTATGGTAATCTTTTGAAGCCAATAGCTTACATGTTTTCTATAGAAAGTATAAAGTGAGAAAAAAACTATCAACCATGAGTTTCAGGACTTTACGATAAACTATCAAAGTCCTTACTAATTAAACTAACTATCATCTTAAACCCTCAACCTTTGACAAGACTAATAAGTTTGATTGAGCCTCACCAATATCTTGCAAGTTATTGGTTAGTGTGGCCCTTGAGTTTAATGTTCTAATGGTATAAAAAATTTTAACTAAAAAATATATGTTTTCATATAAGTTTTTTGAGTACGTATTAAAAGCCTAATTAGCACATAATTAACTTAACAATATATTCTTTTCATCTATCCTATGCATCAATGGTATTACTTGCGCCGATTGAGCCAGTCACTATGATAATTATGTCGAGTCGATCTATTATGCGTTTGTCTTGTTACGATATTTTATGTCTTGAGTGGATGTATTATACGCAATGACATACTTTGCCAAATATTTCGATACTTATGTCCTAAACTAATAGATTATGCAGAAAGGATACTGGACACTTTGATAGTTAAATTTTTTATGTCTAAGATAGTTTAGATATTTTTTTATTGTAGACGAACACATTATGTGGATTATATTTTATGTTAATGTATTACTTATAAAAGGGATACTCTAGTCCTATCAATCGCATTGAGTAAACTATATCATAACTTTAATTGATTTATCAATTTTGTTTGACTCAAATCATTGGTCAAAATGTTATCATCAAACGTTTATAAATCACTTTTGATCAAAATTAATCGAGGTGTTATAATTTTCCCCACTTAATAGCTTAACATCCTCGTCAAGACCCAATGTAACCAAATCAAATCATAATATGATGCATGTGAGGTATAGTCCAATAATGACTCCACGTCATGACAAGTCCTCTAACTTCATCTATGAATATCTCTTTCTTACTCGAGTCCTCTCAACATGCTCAAATATTAGGTCGGTTATGATACTAAATATGGACTAGTTGACCTATCAACTTTGTTTGAGACAAACCATCACACAAATAAATCTTTTTATACATTTATCTTTCTAAAGTTCACATAAATAGAGATCCAGACTAACCAACTCAGGTCAAGACTAACCTGCCTGTGATCCTGACCCAGCCAAGTCAGACTAAGCTGCCCGACCCGTTCACCAAGCAAATGCCTAAATATAATATAAATTCCAAATTCTATACCGTATGAAAGTTCAAAATTGGTTAAATACTAGCGCAAATAATCTACTTACTTCAAGAAAGCTTCGCACTAAGCACATTCCTCTTCCACCAATCTCCCATTTACAGAAGATCAACAACTCCTTTGAACATAGATAATTAATCTCTAATCAAGTCCATGAAAAATCCTCTGGAGTACACAGGAAGACATTCACTGAGACTCTAACTTCAATCGATTCTGTAGCCATCATCACAAAGTAAAAAGGGAATGACTGGATAATATGATTTTTTTTTCTTTTTCACATTAACTCTCTATTCTGAAAAGGGAATGGCAATTATATCCTTAGCAAAATACTCACAGTTAAAAGGTACCTAAAAATTTCCAGTCCAAGGAAAATACCTGGGAGATTCAAAATTTTTACAAGATGTAGAAGATACACCATATCTATCTTGAAGCATCAATGTCCACGGTCCTTTGACAAATGCCGACAGAGTCGATGCAAGCAAGAAAGCCTGTCTCTGCAAAATGGCTATCGGTCTTAGGAACAATTTGATATGAAGAAACTTTGGAATTCTAAAAGGGCTACCCGGTCAGACAATATTGGTTGTCTACCTAGTCTTCTATCTGAGTGTCTATGAAGAAAAGCTTTGCAATCACAGTCCTATTCCCTCGCTTCTACAGAAAGTAAGTCATCTGCAAGATTCATGTAATAGTTTGTGAGAAGAAGAAAAATGGTAAAATCAACTTGCTTGACACCTTTGTTTCTCGACATACGAGACTCTTCAAATCACTAACGCGAGAACAGATACAAGCCAAGTAATTTCCAAGAATATTCCAAGTGAACCACAATACAAGTTTACTTACATTCCAGTAGTCATTGCTAAATAATCATGCAAACAGCTAAGTCAAACAACTGACAACAAACATATAGACTTTTAAAATCGAGGTCTTAAACTATTTAAAAGATGCAATATATTGATATCACACATATAAGGAAAACTGATCGGCATAATCAACTTCAAATGTTGCTCGAAACATAGAAAGAGCAAAGATCTCTTGCTAAACAATTACAATAAATAAATGGGCTTCCTCGTGGAGAAGATAATGTTATCCTCGCATCAAGCAATGTACTAGATCTTTAATTAAAAAACTCAATATTGTCTCTTTTGTCAATCTAATGATCTGAAGAAAAGCATACAAGGCAATATTAAAGTAATGTCCAAATTCAGCAGCATGTAACATCTTAAAACATCAAGCTTTGCTGCTTTGGTGTTTCAAACCAATCCCATATCAAATCAACAGAGATGGATTAAGTTCGCTCAGCTTTACCCTAAAACATGCTAAGGAATCAATCAGTATTGATCTAAAACCTCCTAAGAATATGAAAACACGTGATACAATTCGGTGCTATTTGTCAGAGCACCGAGAATTGGTTATCGTCTTAAGAATAAAAAATATTTAACAATTCTTAGGACAAATTATTTCATTACAAATAGTTTTTATTTGCAATGAACCAAATACAGTGTGCATTACATGCGTCTGCACTGTCAGAAGACCTATGTAGCTTCAATTTGTCATCTATTTATGTAAATTGCATCAGAATAAACCACACATACCCGTGGGGGCCCATATGCACACTTCATATGATCAAATATGTAGTTTATATTTCCTACTTGCGGCTGCTGTTTCATTATTACTATTATTTAATAAACTAATGTACGATCCATGATTATAGAAATCAGTTAGACCTTAAGATTTCTTAAGAAATCATCGTATAGATTGTTGATTGACCATAGACAAAAAATTCCCATTTATTATTAACACAGTATATTAAATATTTTAATATACACTATAATATAGTTCTGAATCCAATAAAAAATATGAGCTGTGCAGTGCCATGAACACCCACATATAATGGCCAATGTTGTAAATTGTTACCTGTAAATTATCAATAAAAATGTATGCACCAGGCAGTTATGTGCTTGGATGAGTTCACATACGACAGTTAAACACCATATTTGTAATTAACCAAGTATTAAACACATGTTATCCATATTAGGCCATCCTAGTCTGACAATTCCACCCATTTTCAGCTTTTCTGATGCAGCGCTATCGGTTAAAAGATCTCATTTTCAGTTTTTCTGGTGCAGGGCTATTAGGTAGAAAGATCTTCGATATAGATCATCATTCGGAGTCCCATGTAGGACTAAGCACAGTGAGCCTCCCCTTGTATTATTAAACATATTAAATCCTACTCCCTTGTAGTGAAAATAATCACAACCTGGGCATAAATTGGGTCTACAGTGTGTAAGCCAGTAGCTATAGCTTCAAGATTAAGCATCTCCAGAACCAACAGACATGCCTAACAACGTTTTGTAATGTAATCCTACATCATTTCATCAAATGCTAAGTGGCAATGTCTTATGCACTTCACATATCCATATATTTCTAGAGCTCCACTAGTTGTTCATAATTATCACAATATGACAACATCGTAGCAGAAACAAGTAGTCACATCCAATCAGCAACGGTGATGAAGCGAAATCAAAATCTAGGGGGCATATATATATTAAACATAAGCAACATGCAGATGAGAACGATACGAGTAAAATATGTACATTTCCTTTGCCTATGTCTTCTTCCAAAAGGAAAAAGATGGATAGATAGAATTACCAAAAGAAATAAACACTAAATAGACTATTATTAGGGAGAGCATCATTAATTTAGCAGTCAACTATAACCACTACCATCCAGATAAACAAGAATCATAAATAAAAGCAGGAGCCTGCACTAAGAGCTACAAGCTTTCCAGCAAGACCTTTAATCAGCTTCCTGCAGACTTGAGCTCATCCAATGTCAACTTGATGTGGTCCCATACAAGATCTAGCCGCTTCAAGTAAATCTCCAGTTCCAGAATCTGCTGCTTTCTCCAATTGTCATCCACAGGCATCCCTGGAGCCATCAAAGAACTACCTTCAAGGCTCAGAGGCAGCAGGTTCAATGGTGATGTCCCTGGACTAAATCCTGAGCCCATAGGCCCCCCAATAATGGAATTGATCAGCTCCTTAAACAGCGGCAAGAGGCAGCTCTTCACTGTCTCCTCTATGATGTTTGGCACATTGGATGCCGAAGCAAAAGGTGTGTGCATCACCGAGGTGGAATTCTCCACGCCAACTTCCCCAAATGCAACCGCAGCTGCAGTCCCTTCAGTCACCTTTCTTCTCAAGTGCCTTCTTGATCTCGAGATCATTCTACCAGAACTTAAAGGACCCTCATCAATAGGAACCGTAATAATCTCGTTGGACATGATGTCGCTTGGGGCATTCAGGTCCTCGTCATCGCTCTCGTGGGCCCTCTTGACGCTTGCGCTCCAGATGTTGCGAGCGATGTCATAGATGGCCCGCTCGTGGGTGCCCTTAAAGGCGAAGTCTTTTCCCATGGACCGCATCCTACTGACGCAGTTCCGATACTTCTTCTTCAGACGGCGGAGCTTTTCAATAAGCTGGTTCTTGGTGAACTCAAAGTGGAGCTGCTTCTTTATCTCCTCATAGAAGGGGCCGGTGTCGTACTGGTGGGAGGCGAAGGTGGTACCTCGCCTCGAGGTGAACCCCAAGAACCTCTGGAGGATCTTGATCTCCTCCTCGTCAGTCCAAAGTCGCTGGAAAAGCCGGCGGGACTCATCGAAGGAGACGACGGCGAGGGACCTCCTCTCCTCGGAGGCAGTGGCGACGGAGACTGGAACGGAGGAGGATGAAATGAAGAGGCCAGCGCCGGAAGGAGTGGAGATGGCTGCAGAGACACGAACGACCGGGTTCGCGCCGTTCTGGGGGGCGGCAGCGGCGGCAGGGCCGGAGGTATTAGGGATACGGTTGGGGTTAGGGTCTCCGACATGATGGGAGGACGCCAAAGGGACAACATTACCGGCGAGCGGCACCGTCTGACATTGCATCAGCGGAGGCGGCGGCGGGGCCCGGCCGTTGCCATCGTTGTCGTCTTCGCTGTCGTCGCTCCCGGAAGTGGAGTCCTCTTCGTCCTCGAATACAGCGCGCTCTTGCTCGGCTTCCTCAGCCGTCCGCATGTCTGCTCCCGCTTCTGCTCTTCCGCGAACGGATCAGTACAGGACGGGAAACAAGAGGTGATTTGGGTTTGGGCTCGAATTCGAGTTTAAATTAGGGTTAGGGTTTGATCACAATGGGTTGTGTAAAGAGCGGATGCGTACGTGACGACTGATGGCTCACTTCGTAGATGCGGGATCAAATGTATTAGCGGCCGATCGTCAATCTCCACCGTAGGATGACCTTTGGACGGTGCAGATGTGCCCTCGAAAAAGACGTGGCAATAGGAGCCAGCTATTTATTGGTAATCTTCACATGTCAATACACAAATTTCAATTTGTTATTCTAACTTACACTCATTGAAGTAATTTGTTGATACAAAAGAATAGGATCTTTTAGATTGATCATATTTGGCAATGTGTATCCTAGTGTTAAAATATTTTTGATTTAATTAAACAATCAATAATCCCAATTATATATATAATTCAATAATCAAAATTTTTTTTTTTCTTTTTAAAAGTTATTATAAAAATAAAGCATTTGATCGGTTTGCCTTTATTGAGATTTTAAAAGTTATTTTAATTTATTTGTGTATGGATATAGGATTCTCATCCATCTTAATTGTTTTTTTAAATATAAGTATTTTTAAGATTTTCATAATCATATGTCCTGAATTCTAAGTAAGAGAATGAGTCCTGTAAAAAAAATTAAAATTAGAGTTTAATTTTTTATTAATATCTTATAAAATTTTAAATTTAGTAGAGGGAGAGTGAGATGTAATGAATAATTTGTTCCTGATTTTTTCTCTCATGTTTATAGAGAATATAATTCTCAGTTGAATTTTTAGAGCTCTAAATCGATGATTATTGATTTTTTTATAAAAGTTTTATAGTCTAAAATATTTAAAAAATATGTTCCTAGTATAAGGCTTATAATTAAGTCATAACAGATTTGATGATAAATATTTAGATGGATTCTATTATTAATAATTTTTTGATTAATTAAAGTTATTTGTTTCTATTATCTTATTTATATTTATGTTTATAATAACTGAATATAATAATAGATTGATTTGGTAAGATAGATTACATGGGTTATTGTGTATTACATTAGCAATAGTTAATAGAATTGTGGTAAATAAAAAGAAATATGATATTAATATCATGTGATATTTTTGATAATTGAAGTTAATATAGTATTATTGTGGTTATTGTACTTATTAACTTGTTTTAAACTTCATGGTCATATATAAAATATTTTTTTTATTTATTTTTAATTAAATTAGGTAAAATTATTTTTAAATAAAAATTTATTTTATTTTATTTTAAATTTATTTTTTATGTCTTACTAATTAATGAGTTAGGTGAGAGAATATTAGATTATGTGATCCTATTTAATTATGTAAGATATATTATAGATTTAATTAGATTTTGATGACGATTATCAATCAATAGAAAAAAAAAAATAATTATAGCATGATTCCTTACCATATCATTTTGATGGGAAAAACTCTCATATTTATCATTCTAAACTCTCTCATCAGACCTCTTAGGGATGATATATTAGTCATTGAGATTGTAAATATTCTCAATCTCTCTTAGTCCTTAATCTATCATTTTTACGAATGATACAAAAGATGGAGAAAGCGAATCTAGTTTTTCTTATTGTTATGGCTCTCAGATGTAATGATGATACACTTACAAATCAAATAAAGATTTTTGGCATTGAGAGGCATATTTCGTAAATATAATTTATCGTTGTGTACTTTAATTTTTTATATAATAATAATATAATCATGATTTTTATGTCTATAATTCCAATGATGGAAACAAATAATGGGAGTAGGAAAGTTTTTATTTCAGAATTTGGCTGTTAACATTTCAAAGTCCGATCAATTTTGCTATTTTATTTTTCATTAGATAATTTGGATAATATTGTTTCTTCTTATTCATTGAATTTATTAGTTGTCAATACAAAATATTGAGTTTATTTTGAAAATTTTACAATAATTCTATCATTATTACCAAATTGTTCAAGAAGAAAAAAAAAGAAATTCGAACAAAAAGAATGAAATAACCATAGGATTCACTACAAACATTAAAGAAAAAATAGTATTTTATCTCCAAAAGTAAGTTTCTTTCCAATTAAATATTTATACAGAGATAGAAATATATTAAAGAGACATATGATCGAGAAAAAAATTATTTATTTTCTTCCAAAAGTTTCAATGAACTGATTTATTAAATGCTATTATACTTTCCTTAATTTTACAAGTTTTGCATTTTTATTCTTGTATCGAGGTCTATAAAAAAGGGGTAAAGTTTTATGTCAAGTGTGTGTCATGGAGAATTAGGAGGCCCTCAATTCTTGACGAAAACAAAAACAAATTTCGTAATCTCCATCATCTATTTTCTATTATCTTTATTATTTTTTCTCTTGCCCTTTATTTGTCCTATATCAACATATTTGAGTCATCAAGTATTAATTATCAAAATAAATTATCATCGCACTTTAAATATTGAGTTGGTGATGATGTATTTAACAAAGATTAAGGATTTGAAATCTATCTATGTATTTTTAAATGAATAGGGTTGGCCTCATGAGATTAAATTTGAAATGGCAACATCTTGTTTTTCTTTATTCTCGAAGGAGCTCATCGTCTATTGGTGACTTCTATCCTATACCCCTCGTCCTCTTATGTTGGAGAATGGAGCGATAGGGATGAGGATGATAATGGAGAGAAGAAACTCATCCTCCTCATCACGAGAGGAGATAACAACCTAGACAAAGAGAATGCTAAAGAAGCTAAGGAGATAGATGAGGGAGACGATGAGACTAACAATAGTAAAGATCACATGGAGGTTGAGGAGGTGAAGTGATACGGAGGAGCGAATCTTTTCACACCACTATTACATGATGAAAACGAAAGAATCCACGAAGAAGACAAAAAAATAAGAGATTGGCATCAAACGAGAGAGGGCATCAAATGCTTTGTCCTGAGTAGTGAAGATTTTGGATAAGTGATAGACTCCATCGCCATGGGAGAGCGAGCATGTGAAGATAAATAATAATTTTATTTTTTTTAGAAAATAAGAAATACTCTATAAGAAAAAAATAAAATAATAAAAATAAGAAGAGTACGCTAGGTGGGAAAAAATAAAAAAATAGTGTTTTTTTTTATTTATCCAATTTTCTTTTTAGTTTGGCATAATCACATTTTTATGCCATTCTTATAAGTTTCGATAGATAAAGTACATTGAGTTGCATTATACTCGGACTTACTAATTTTAGATCATCAAGTACTTAAAGTGATAATTAACGCACATTGTTACCCTGCAATAGAATTATGTTGATACTCGAGTTGTTACCCTCGTCATTCTTACTTCGCAAGACGTGGTCGCAGGTGGGATCCACTGCTGAACCGGTCATCAACCGTGTATATGAGGCGAGTGATGGTTACGGAGGTTGAAGATTTTATCCAGCCCGCGTGACCGCGAATAACAAACATGTCTCTCCCTTCGCTCCCATTTGTATAGTTTCTCCATCACCTTCTGTTTCAAATAATTCCAAGTCAGTTAAGAACATTCGAAATGGAAGAAGCGGCACAACCGCTGCTGTCCTCTCATCGCAGTCACTCGGAAATCGAAGAGTCCTCCCCGGTCTCCTTCTCGCCTTCTTCCGATGCTGCTACTCCTTCTCGCCTCAAGTCTTGCCTCCACCGCGCAAGCAGCGCCCCGGCCATGTCGGTCATCCCCTGGGATCTCTTTCTCCAGGATTCGGAACCGAACCTCGATACCTCCAGCCCGATCGTCAAGCATGCCTCCGTTCTGCTGCTGCTCTACCTCTCCCTCGGCATGCTCGCCTACTTCTTCAACCCCCGGGGCTTCTCCGTCGTCCAGACCCACCCCGCTGTCGACGCCCTGTACTTCTGCATCGTCACCCTCTGTACCATCGGATACGGCGACATCACCCCCGTCACCCGGGTCACCAAAGCAATTTCCTGCGTGTCGGTCCTCGTCGGCTTCGGCCTCATCAACGTCCTGCTCACCGACGCCGTCAACCATTTACTCAACTTGCAGGAGAGCGCCATCATCGACAGCGTCCGCGGCGCCAGCACCCGACACACCAGCTACATTGTCGACGCTGAGAAGGGGCGGATGAGGATCCGCACGAAGGTGGGGCTAGCGGTCGGGGTCGTCGTGCTCTCTGTCGGGGTGGGGACGGTGGTGCTCCGCCTGCTGGAGAATCTCGACTGGATGGACGCCGTGTACCTGTCGGTGATGTCGGTGACGACAGTTGGATACGGAGATCGGTCGTTCAAGACGACGCGCGGGAGGATCTTCGCGTCCGTCTGGCTCCTGGTGTCCACCCTGGCTGTGGGCAAGGCGTTCCTCTACTTGGTGGAGGCCAGGATTGATAGGAGGCACCGGAGGATTGCGAAGTGGATCTTGAAAAGAGACTTGACGGTGAAGGATTTGCTTGCAGCTGATCTGAATCAGAAAGGATTCATCAGGTTAGATCACATTTACGATTCCTTTCATTTTCCGTGATGAACCACATGTTTGATGTGAAGATGTCTGCTCCAGCATATGTCATGAAGGTGAATAAGAACGGATTCACCCCATGACGAATTAAAGATGTCTGCTCTCACTGACATCATGACCTTGGAGTTGAAAGCTTTGAGTCAGTCATCTACACGCTACAAATTACTCTGACCTTGGCTTTCATGTTCTGCACTGGTATTACTTCAAAAAAGATCTGAGTCAGTTATCAACATCTTTTCTGGAAATACAGAGTATGCATTCTATGGTTATTGATCTTGAACACTTAGCTTTGTAGTGCATTTGAAAATGAACTCTCTGTTTTGCTTTTCCTTTACATTTCATTTGTGCCTATTCTTGCTTCAGATCATTTCGAAATTGAGTTGCTATGTTAGTAGTTTCAGTTGATGCCCATTCCAACCAAAACTATATCTGTCTCAGTGCAAGGGCAGAGTTTTCCCTAGCTTTCAGTAAGTCTGGGAGTTCATCCTAGTAGAAACCAGGAAACTTTCCCAAGACCTAGCAATTAATTATATGAAAGATACAGAATATACATCTAACTATTGCTAAGATCTTATTGATTCCTTTGAAATCTATCACCAACTTGATAAAGTTCACAGAATTATGATGACTTAGAAAATAAATTTATGCAAAGCATTTTGCAGCTACACACATCAAGCATCTGGTGATTAAAACTCTTGAAAGAATTAACAGCATAAATACTGTGCACAAGTAGATGAAACATTGCCTTAAGGTACTTGATGTTTGACTTCTACCATTCAAAGCTAGTGTTGGTTCTGATTTTTTTTTAAAAATTCTGCTTCTTATTTCTGTGATTTTTTAGAATACAAACTCATATGAATGGTTAAGGGATTGCATGATGGTGTGATCTTAAACTAGCATATATACAAATCTTTTTTGAACTAAAGTAGAATGGAGCAACATTTCATTACTTGATAATAATTATAAATGTTTCTCCAGTTGACCGATTGCATGACAGCAAACAAAGTTTACATGGCCTTATGCTCTATTTTTGTGGATTTCAGTAAATCAGAATTTGTGATACACAAGCTGAAGGAGATGGGAAGGATTGACGAGAAAGAAATATTGTCGATCTGCAACCAATTCAACAAGATTGACCTGCACAACACCGGGAAGATAACCCTCCCTGATCTATTGAGCGTCTCAAGATGACATACAGCAGAGGAGGGGTATGCTATCAAAGCATGGTCTGTTGTTGTGTTCATCGAAGTAATGATGAATGACTGTAAAGCTTCATATACTTTTGCAAGTATAGCAAATGTGATTCTTGAAAGAAAAATGTAAATTTCATGTTCTTTTGCAAGTGTAGAAAATGTGAATTGCCAAAATTTTACTTGGTCCGACCATGTTGAAAGAAAATCTTTTCCAGGGTTGCAGAATTCCAGCCGAAAGGAACAAAGGCAACAGATCTGAAGCATGTCAGCAAGAACATGTTAGGCGTGGGACACAGCAGAGATTATTAACGTTTTGGACGATGATCAGCACCACCACCGGTTATTGTTCTACAACCGGTGGTTGACTTGAATGATAATTTAATGACTCCACGCATGCATTTAGACAGTACAAGATTAGCAACTTTCATTAATCTTGATGCAGAGCTACAACAAAATCCCAATGAACAAACACAAGTTCTTTATTTGATTCTATACTTTTCATCAATTGATTAAAACCCAAACCGAAACTCTTTTATCAGACTTCAGATCAAGAACAAGCAGTAACAATAACTGGGACGCAATGACAACAGCAAGAAACTAGATTGGTTACTAGATAGGCATGCATCGATTAGCCGATTCAAAGCTTAGGCAGCAGGCTTCTCCCACTTGAGGGGCTTGACGACTTCCCAGGTGAAGTCGGGGTCGTCCCTTCCAAAGTGCCCATAAGCCGCAGTCTTGAGGAACCTGCCATTGCCTCCCCTCTGCAGATCCAGGTTGATGGTGATCATCCCTGGCCTGAAGTCGAAGTGCTCTTTCACAATCTTCAATATCTCCTTGTCCGGGATCTTGCCGGTGCCGTAACTATCGACGAACACAGACAGAGGTTCCGGCACGCCAATGGCGTAGGAGACCTGCACAATGCAGCGGCGGGCGAGCCCGTTGGCCACGATGCTCTTGGCTGCCTGCCTCACGATGTACGCACCACTGCGATCGACCTTGGTGGGATCCTTGCCGGAGAAGGCACCGCCGCCGTGTGCGCCCCAGCCGCCGTAGGTGTCGATGATGATCTTGCGGCCGGTGAGCCCAGCGTCACCATGAGGGCCACCGATGACAAACCGACCCGAGGGGTTGAGGTGGAAGATGGTCTTCTCGTCGAGGTACCTCTCAGGAATGACGGGCTTGATGACGTGCTCCTTAAGGTCCACGGCGATCTCGTCGTTGGTCACTGTCTCGTCGTGCTGGGTGGAGATGAGGACGGTGTGGACGCGGATCGGAACCATGGCGCCGTGGTCATTGCGGTACTCGACGGTCACCTGGGTTTTGCCGTCAGGTCTCAGCCAGGCGCAGGTGCCGTTCTTGCGGACCTCGGTGAGGCGTGCGCCGAGCTTGGTGGCGAGGACATGGCTGAGGGGCATCAGTTCGGGGGTCTCGTCGGTCGCGTACCCGAACATGTGGCCCTGATCGCCGGCCCCGATCTCCTCGGGGCGCTTGGTGAAGTGGCCGTGCACACCTTGGGCGATGTCAGGAGACTGCTGCTCGATGTTGACGAGCACCTTGCAGCGATCGGCGTCCAGGCCGACATCATCGGACACGAACCCGATCCCGCGGCAGGTGTCACGGACAATCTTCTCGTAATCCACGTTGGCCTTGGTGGTGATCTCGCCGAAGACCATGACCATGTTGGTTTTGGTGCAGGTCTCGCAGGCGACCTTGCTGTCGGGGTCTTGCTCCAGGCAAGCGTCAAGGACGGCATCTGAAACTTGATCGCAGAGCTTGTCAGGATGCCCCTCGTTCACGGATTCAGAGGTGAAAAGGAAGGTTTCGGCGCCAGCCATGGTGTTCTAAGTGCTGCATAACCAGGCATCGATCAGGAAAACTAAGAACAACATATCTATCGATCTACAAATATAAACCACACACACAGATCAAACATGGAAATAAACATATCAGCCAACAAAATTGTAGCATTTCCATAAAATCTATGTAAGAAACAACATCTTAAAGCTGTCCAACATTCCAGGAGCCAAAAATCAACAAGAAATCATGAAAATATTTGAGAGAAGACGATGCGATACCTGTAATCTCAAAGCTGCTGCCTGTTGTTGGTGGATACGAATTGGATTCAAATCGAAAGGAAGAGCAGGAGGCACTCACTCTTTCACCGCGGCTGGCCATCTCTCGACGTCAGTATTTATAGGCGAGCGACGTGCTTCCCGACCGGTGATTGTTGAGGTGGATCCGACGGCCCACAGGCTGTTCCGCCGGGATCTGATCGTATCGTGCGGCCGAATAGTGATCGAAACCGGTGGCGGACAGCGACCCGAAGGTTTGGTCCCTGCGGTAGTCGTGCCGGGCCCCTCGCTAGTTACTGGCTTCTGCGGAGGTCGGGCTCCCATGTCTTGGCTAAGACAGAAACCAAGGGTTCCGACACCGAGCATCGGACACTCGGACGCCAAATGACGTCATCCGTCCATGTGATGGGTGGAATTATCCTGGCCTCTGTCTGGGACAAGACAAGGGAGCCTTACCCTTCGTTCGGTGGGTATGTCGGCTAAAATTTATTTGGTGAAGCGCCCTTTTTCCCTGAGGATCCTATGTCTCGGCCGAGACTGGCTTGTGTTCTACTATTGGTGGACAGACGCTGGGTCCCATAAGTAAGTTTGGGGCCCATATTACTGGCCAGTGCGAGCGCAGTTGTGCACCTTCGGAAATGCTTCTTACGACTGCTCGTAACGTTCGTATGCTGATAACGTGTTCTTTTCGGGTACCAAACCACTGCTCGTCTTTTCGACTCACCACCGAGTGTTTCCACCGGTTGAGGTGTTCTTCTTGGTAGCAAAGCACTAGTATTTTCTTTTTATTTGAATTTTGTCGCCATTGATCGTTTCTGATGGAGTTATTGAAGTCTTTCTTATAAGAGGTGTTCTTCTTGGTAGCAAAGCACTAGTATTTTCTTTTTATTTGAATTTTGTCGCCATTGATCGTTTCTGATGGAGTTATTGAAGTCTTTCTTATAAGATGTGGGTTGTCTTATATGCATTAGGACGAATAGAGGTGATCAGGTCCACTTTTCTTATTTTATCGAGACCATCGACTCAAATTCTATTTTTCATATAAACATATACATCTATATTTTTTATTTTCATTGAACGTTTCTTTCCATTGGTAAATTGCTTGAAACATATACATCTATAATTGATGATGTGATTGATGTCTTTCTTACAAGATAAGATGTGGGTTGTTTGTTTATATTGAAACTTAAAATAAAAAATTGCGTCTAAAAAATTAAAATAATTGGTCTAATAAAAATAATAAATTTTTATAATAAACCATTCATAGTTTTTGAAGATATTAGTTTTATGATAATATCATAGACTTAGAGGATATCTTTATTTATACTAGTTCTACATCTTTAAAACTAGCTAACTAATAATATGGGACTATTAAAAAAATTATAAAATATAAAAATTAATAACGTGAGATAAATAAAAGTAATAAGTGAGAACTTGATCTTTTGAAAATGACTTTCTTCCGCTTGTTCCTTATTGATCCACTCCACTTGAGAAAAAACTCGCCCTCGAGTTTTTATCTGGAACCATTGGATTTTTATATGAAAAATAGTCATATAAATTTATGACATTGAAGGTTTTTGAGGCTCCTAATTATTTGATAAATGAATCATATAAGTATTATTATTAATTTTTTTTAAGAATTGTACGAGCCATATATATTCGGATTTAATTTGTTATAAGTACCTATGGAAAATCTCTCTTTTTGTATATACATCATAATTATATATTTTTCCTTGAACACATTATCTCTCTTGTATATCAAGTATTAGTAATTTTCAACTTTTTAAGTGTTAATAAAATCGGGATTGCACTGATATTTTTTTAATATGCTCATTTCGCATCAATTCTTTTATCTTCTTCCTCAGCATCTCATTTTCTTTTTTCTTTTGGATTCATCTAGACTTGCTTCTGGAGCCAAATCAATAATATCTCTTATGGGTATAAGTTTATCTAGTAACTCTTCTGGGTGATCTCCTTAAATTCTTCTAATATCGATCTTAGTTTATTTGAAATCTTTACTTTAGGTGATTTTTCTTCTTATAAAATAAGAGCATAGTATATTCTTATTTCATTAGAATTGATAATAAATTCGAAAACGGAGTAAAAACTAGATAAGAGAGACTTTTCCTCCACTTTATAAGTATTAGTTTCATCTCATTTTTTATTAGTCGGTAGCAAGGTTTGCAATACCGTACCATACCGGTGTTTCGACCTAGGCTCGATACCGGTACGGTACGATATACCGAGCAGTATACCCAGGTGCACCGAGCACTGTAGCACTACTACAATGCATTGCTACAGTGTATTGGTACATCGTAATGCTACTATAATAGTGCACTGCAATAGTAAACTATATGCTATAGTGCCCTGCAACAGTACACTATACTGCTACATTGCACTGCACTGCTACAATCGGACCGGTAATGAGCGGTCCGCATACCGTTAGCCTGTCGAACCGGTACGTACCGCCCGTACTGGGTGGTACGATTCAATATGGCAGACCTTGGTTGGTAGAATGATAATATTCTTTTCTATTCCACTATAATATATAGATATTTGATGCGAGAATAAATGAGTTTTTTTTATTATCCATATAGATATAAGATGGGGATGGATAGAGAATTATTTACTCATTTTTGTATCGTCCTTACGCTTAAACATTCAGTCTCATTCAAATCGGACTTGATTAAACCTTAGTTGAATCGATTACGAATTATTTGATTTAATTAAATTAAATAAAATAATATCAACATTTAACGATCATACACACTCTCTAAAAATTAATAATTTGATATATTACTTTTCACGAGTCTATTTTCTTCTTTATGTTTATAATCTTCTTATAATATATAGGAACAACAGATGTATCAATTATATCTACAAATACGATTACCCATGAGAATCAACCCTCAATAACATATAGGAACGGTATCAATTATATCCACAAATAGATTATCCATGACGATCCACCCTCAATGACGTAGAGATAAAAGAATAAATATTTTTTATTATCCACGTAGATATAGGATAGAGATAAATAGAATAATATGTGGATCTACACATTCGTCTGATTCAAATCAGACCGGATTGAATGAGACTTCAAATCAGTTTTATTTGAATCGGTCTACGGGTCAAGTTCCTTGCTTTGAATGAGAATTCATCATCTCCACTCTTGCCCCCATCTAACGGCTTACGGGCTACCACCAACTTGAGTTGACCCACCCTGCAACCCCATTGAAGTCATGGGTTCGGGTTCACGGTGGATATATCACTAACACCTAATCTGACGGTCTAGAAAATTCGAGCTCCTCTTTCTCCCCTCTCTTTTTCCCATTCCGTCCGTGAGAAGGTAACCTCCTTCGGAAGTCGGCAAAGCAGCAGCAGCAGCAGCGGTGGGGCAGGCTCATGCTTTGCTTCGGCAGCAGCACCGGAAGATCCACAAGAAGAGCGACCGCGGCCGCAGCGCTTTCTCCCCCTCCATCATCTCCGCTTCCAGGTAACTCACGGCTTCCTTTACCAGTATATAATGTCGTTGATCGGGTGATTGATTGTCGGGTAGCTGATCCAGAGGAGGATGGGGAAGGAATCAATGGGAGGAGGTGGAGGAATAGAGATCGCAGCCCACTCTCAGAGCGCAGTGCCCCGACGACATCAGCGGCAGAATCTGTCGCCGCTTCACCCGTCTCCTCCGCCATCAACCTTAGCAGAGAGTACACGCACGCCGTCACCACGAGCTCCTTCCAGGAGATATGGTCCAAGATCCACTATGACCAGTCCGAGGGGGAGGGCGAGTGGTGGGACGAGGAGGAGATGACCGACTTAGCTATGGAGGCGGTGGAGGAGGGGGCTCCTCCGTCATCAAGCCGCATAATCGCGCAGGTCCTCCAGCCGGACCGGACCTCGATTGAAGAGGCCCTTCATGGTGCGCCTCCCACCCGCCTCGCCAGACTCGTTTCGGACTATTTCGACGGCAGCGAGCACACATCCCGCTTCTGCCTCTCCCTCGTTCGAGCTGTCCGCCGCGCCCGCTCCCTCTACGCGCCAATCGGCGACCTTATTGATCTCCTCCCAACCTCCACGGCAGTCGATGACTTTCCCGCCCGTCTGACCGAGGCCCAGTGCGACTTGGCTTTCGACAGATTCCTCGAGTTCGACCGGCTGGGCAATCCCTTCACGGCTCCTTCCAGCGACGGCAGCTGCAGTTTCCAGGGTCTGCGGGGATGCTTCGCTGAGCTTAAGCAGCAACTGGAGCTCCGCCTACTCAAGGCCAGCCGGAGGTACCGGCTGATGTGTTGCGCCACCCGAGGGTCCGGCGCCTGTTTGATCGTCTCAACCATCGGCCTCGCTGTGACTGGAGTGGTTTTGGCCACGCATGCACTGGTAACTCTCATGGCTGGGCCTGCTTTATTTTCTGGGGGCTGCCACCGAATGGTAGACGTACCAAGACTGAGGAAACGGCAGAGGGATTACATAGCCCAGCTGGAGGCTGCCTCACGAGGGGTGTACGTGATTAACAACGACCTGGACACAATCGACCGCCTGGTGGCAAGGTTGCATGCGACGGTGGAGAGTGACAGGGTGCTGGTGCGGCTGGGTCTGGAAAGCGGGAAGCGTCAGCAGCACCCCATCCAAGAGGTGTTGCACCATCTCCGCAAGAACCACCCCAGCTTCCTCCACCAGCTTGAGGACCTCGAGGAGCATGTCTGCCTTTACTTTGCTGCCGTCAACCGCGCCAGGTTCCTCCTTTTTAGGCAGATCCAACAGCAGCCACTACCACCTTAATTTACGGCACTGACATGTCTTTGTTGTGGATTTATCTTGCTACGTATCAGGTGATCTCACATTGACTCCTTTCCTTTTAAGGCGGTAAAGTGATTTCTCTTTCAAATATTGGTACTTTTTTTCCTCAGCCACTCACTTAATAGTGCTATGTGAGAACAATTGCAGATGCTGCAAAATTTTATCATTCAGGATAATTTTGTTCAAATGGTGTTATATTACTGCAAATTGCAAAATAACTGAGTTTGTTGGATCATACTCTTGCTTAATTGATATATCCTGCTGCTTTGTTGTCATCGAATGCAAGAATAGATTGAATTGTGCAATGCATATATATAATGTATGTATGTATGTATGTATGTATGTATAGGATTTATGCATAAGCAACAATTGGGAATGAAGGAAAAGCAATGCAAAATGTATGAGATAAGCTGGTAATGTATGAGATAAGGCAATGAAAGAAAAAAACATTGTCAATCTAATATTTGTTTGTTTTGCGCATTCCTCTGCCCAAATGTATGACACTTGGATTTGTGAATGTATAACATCCAGAATCATTATTCTTTTGATGAAAAACGGTGCTTTTGATGCACAATTGACAGAAAAATGTTTAAAAGTAGGCTAAAGAGTAAATCCACTCCAAAAGAAGAAAAAGCCACCTCCTACTGAGAACTGATTCAGAATAGGAACCTGAGTAGATTGGACTCTCTAGCTTCCAACAATTCAAGTTATCAACAACGTACAGTCACAAATACCAACAAACTGAATACCTTGCTGACTAGAACAATTAGTCTCCTACACTGAGTCATGGTTTTCAGTTTTCGGGATTCCATGACCAGACTGGTACATGTTCGGTTCGTGCCTATGTACCAATATATGATACTCTGGCATGTGCCATGGTACTAAGGAATGAGGCATGGGTGTTTCGAGAAGGAGAAGAAGAAAGAGGAGGTGATGGAGAGGAGAGGGAGGAATACCCGGTAGGCTGGCAATAGCCGATGACAGGCAGTAGGCAGGCGATAGCATGAGTCACGAGGAGAAAAACTCAGAACTTGTTGGCTAGGAGAGTAATGCGAGAAGCCTATTGTTTAAAAACTCTAAACTTGTTATTTACAATAAACGAACCCAATTGTCCAAAAGTCCATGTCCCAATTCACATCCGAATTGGAAAATATCATCTGGTTTATATCAATCTGTACAAAATTACAGTCCTTGCGGATACTAATGCTACTCGCCAATTTCATTTGATACCTATGATCTGGACATACTCGCTGCCACTAGTTACCTCTTCCATTTGATTATACTTCTCTCAAGGTTATAATCAGGATTTTGTTCCATTAGCTTGTGAAAATGCTTCCAAGTTGTATATTGGATAATAACCTAGTTGTTAATTTTTTTGACATTTCATTTTCTTTGCACAATATTAATCAACATCAAGCATTTAACAGCTAAACTTTCTTGATAAGTTTTCATTTTCTTAAGAAAAGGATGTCCAATAAAGTATGAGGTTCATCCTTGTGATACATCCAACTTATAAGTTCATTTGTAAATACTGATACAGATGGATAGAACAATACTAGTATAAAGCTTTTAGTTACCAAGCATCTAAGTAACAATTGTGCTTTCTTGAGATATCCTGATGGTAAGCATACTGTTGCACAGTTTTTAGTTATTGGATTTGAGCCCTGTAAATGTGTTTCATCCATAGCTTAATGTAATGGAATGAAATGAGTAAAAAGAAATTATGCAAATACAATTGATGCTGCAGATAAAGGATGTGACAGCAATTAAACATGCTTCATTGATAGCCATCTAACTATCCAACTCAGTCACACTAAATGCTACTTATGAAGTAGATAGGATTATCCATCTGACTTCTTTCAGGAATCAGAAGAGGTGGCATTGAACATAATTGATCTCTGTTCTCTGCCATAGTTCATTGTAAAACATCAAATTCTCTAATTCTCTAAACTACTGTTTTATATATGTAGACAAGCTATCCTTTTAGATTTCTAATTAATTTTGGAGTAGCTTTGAATGACCAATGAGACCAATGAAACCTTGGTCTTTAGAATTTTTTGGAGTATGCCAGATCAGCATGCTTTTAATTGTTTTATATATCATTCGGCAATAATTGCTCCATATGACTTTAGCCTATTGTTATGATATCCAAATTTGATATTTCTTTGTTGTGATGATGGGAAAAACTGTAAGGATGTGGACTTTATAATTAGACCTCTGCTGGTCAGCCTCTCGTCATTTTGCTTAGAAGGGTTGAGACATATTACTAATAACAAATTTGTCAGGTGGCAATCAATATATCTTTAATTTTGTAGTGTTTTTGAAACAGCAATAACATATTTGACCTTCTCTTGTATTTCCTTGGTACATCTCACCAATTTGATGTATCTATTTGTTTATTTATTTATGCTTGAACTAAGCCATAAACATGTCATTTTTGATCCTGTGAGAATGAATTTTGTTTGCATCAGCTCCATTTAAATTTAATAAGGAAGCATGCAACTGATGATGCTGGTTGTACTTACTCCCATGCTACTGTCAAATTTCATGTCTTTTGAAGGTTATCTTCTTCAAAGTGTGCAGCCCTATGGCTAGGTTTAATATAAACTAAAATGTCTTCCTGTTGATACCATAATTCTTCCTTCAATCCATATGTGTAACACTTAAGCATTTGGTGTGTGGTTATGGAAATCACATGGATGACTTGCAGATGGAGTTGTAGGTAAGCAGGAACACACACACACACACACACACACACACACACTTTTGAGGGAGGTGGTGTTACTCGTGTATTGGCCCTTTGTTTGGCAGTCATTTAGGCTTGATTTTACCCCTAACAATTGATTATATGCATTTATAATTACATAATTGCAAATGTGGGCATCTAAGCTAAAGTCAAGATTTTGGTTGCCCACATTGCATTTGCAAGTCATGTTTGAGATTACACACTGGGTGTCATAGAGTTATGGTCTACATCTCCACCCAATTTGCGTGCTCTCAAGTGCAGATTGCAAACAATGCTATGTACAGCCTAGTGATTAGGATTTCCAGGCATTTTGTGACCAGTAACTTTTCCTCCGCCCTCCACTTTAAGTAGTACTTCCCTTGTGTCCCCCCAAACCCAACCCCTCTTTCAACTCCTCCCCTCTCCTTGGTCTGCCACCACTACTCTGACCTTCGTTGGCCTTTGTTAGTTAAATATTGAGCTTCTTGTCCAGTTTCAAACTTGTCATTCCTCTACTTTATCTTTTAGTGTCCATCTTTTTGCTATTCTGTCTTTTTTATCTCCTTTTAGAAAATAAGATTGTTTTCTTTCAATTAATAACTCAATGTCATTCTCTAAATGAGGTCTACTTAAATCTTTTAATGTCCATCATTTTGCTATTTTGTCTTTTTTATCTCCTTTCAGATAATATTTCAAATAGTAGCATGTTGTTATTGTAGCCTATCTTTTACTTCAGGTTGGATAATAGTGGAGACTAACATACTTGATGCCTTTATCATGTAATATTTTTAGTTCCTGAATTTGGGAGATTGCATGATGCTTGTGTTTTATATCAGCGTGAATGGTGTGGGTTTAAGACGTATTTGTAGGGATGTAGAAAAAGAATGGAAAAATTAAGAAATTAACCTGGTAGTAGGACAATTCATAAGCTTAGTAGTATCCAAATTTAGTGAAAATACTTGAAAAATAGGTCCTCATGGGTAAGTTTGTGGCATTTTCCAATGAGCATGTGCGCGCAACCATTTGTCTAGGCTTCTCAGATTCATTTGAGGAACTTACACTTGTGTAGCTGACAGCCTGACATCTATTTATTATTCCACATACTATAGTTATTTTTTCTTCAACCTCTATGAGGTGTTGTCATGAGTGTTTCATGGCAAGACCTTTTTTATGCATAGTTCTAGCATAAACCTTTGTAAAAGTTGTGCTAGGAAATCATAGAATTTAAAAGTTCTAGTCCATTTATATGATTGATTGTGTTTGACTTCTTAATTATCCAAGTTTTACAACTGATATTGGGAACCAAAGTTAGATAAATTTTATTCCCATAAAATATTGTCTTATTTGTTAAGTGATTTTGTCTGTTATAGTCTATTGTCTTAGATGTTAGATAGCATGCTTGATAGTGGAGGAGCATCACTGTCATGTTTCTCCCACTTCTTCTCACTTTGCAGAGAACATTTTCATGTAGGAGTGAAGCATCTAACAATGGAAGCAAAGCTACTTATTTTGTAGGTACCAAATGCAGTCATCTATTTTTTAGTTCAGCATAGTTACTGGTTTTATTTCACTTTTGTTCAAGTTGTATTACCTGTTAGATGTCTTGAATAATGTTGCATTTTAGTGTAAAGACTTACCAGTAAGTCCCATATTAGAAGCGGAAGGATGATTGTGATGGTTTATGGGGACAGATGGGTCCTATTCTAGGAAACAATTGCAACATATGTCTACTCTGGAGACAGCTCTGGATTTTATTAGGAAATTGTAGCTGATCATACTATTTTTCTACCAGCTCTAGGCTATAATTTAGCTTTAAACTGAAAAAGAAAAATCCATAATTTCTGTGAGACATGCATTACAGTTCACTTGCAATCAAGCGATTAGTGTATATAGCTAGCTTTTCACATATCAGAATATGTATGATACTTCTGCAAGATCTCTCATTGTCTTACTGTAATTGGTGATGCATATTAAATCTTGAAGTGTTTTGTTGATCAACTAGTCTCTTTATAATATCTGAGATGGGAGTTGTGGTTTCTGGCAGTCGTGTACACATTTTTGCACGTGCAATTGTACCTTTCTAGAACAATCACCATATGCTAGAACCTTATGTCTTGAAAGTCTTTGTTGTTTATGATCTATCCTGTATGCAATGCTTCCTTGTTCCATGATTTGGTGCTTGATAGTTTCTGCTTAATTGCCATCGTGAGCATGATTGCAATAGTCGGTGATATGGCAGCATCACAAGCTAGAGTGATTTACTTAATTGGCAAATTCAGGATTATTCGCCATTTTAGTTAAAACTGTGTCAGACAGTGTGCTCCTAGTTATGAATTTACATTTGCACTTATGACCTGGTGATAACATGTATGCATATGAGATTGTCTACACACCATCATCATGGAATTATTTCATGTTTGGAATCCTTTCTTCAGGTCAGCATTTTTACCTTTAAAAATTGACTGATGTTATGTAATGATAAAAATAAGCAGGTTGGTAATAACAGTTAC